ATATATATATGAATATAGATATAATATAATGTATATATAAGAATGAAAGAGGATTTAATAGATTGGCTTAAAGGATCAGAGGTTAGGTACTTCCAGAATTGCTGGCTGAATGATGAAGGGCCAGAGAATCTTATAGTTGTTCAGTTCAAAGAGCTGGAACCTGAAGAGCAAGAAGGACCAAGGATGCAGTTCAGGTTCAAAGCTGAAGGCCTAAAAGTTCCCTGGAGGCTCACTGTTGTGAGTCTACATTGAAAGGCTGAAGAAACTATGATGATAACAGCAATAATGCACCTCCTTAATAAGAATAAAGTTATCAAGTACTAGTTCCATCCAGGCTGCAGACTTGGATGGTGTTGCTCATAGCCACGGTGGGGTCTCCTACCCCATAATTCACTGATCCACATTCCAGTAACTCTGGGAACACACTGTGGACACCCAAACACTCCAGAAGTATATTTTATTAACAAGGTAGTTCTCAATTCAACCAAGGTGACCTTCTGAATTAACCCTTAAAGTAAGATTTTGGATTTATTAGTACTGGAGGGAAATTTGAACAATGAGCAAAGAGAAGATGACTGATGTTATGAAAATAGATGGGATGTCCTGGATGGAGTATGAAGTGAAAAAAAAAAAGAGGTCTTAGAGGACTGGCACCAGGAAGGGCAAACAGAAAAAGGAAAGTTACATATATATGACAAGGAAGCTAGGAGGAAAACCCTTTTACACATAAGATGAACTAGATTTTGAACAATGGCATTGTTAAAATGATATCAAATTTTTCCAAACATTTGAATAAGAGGACTGAATATTTTGTATTGGAAAGTCTAGAAAATGCAGAGGCCAGTGGAGTCCTGAGTGAGATGGGCTATATGACAAAGGTGAACACAGCAACTCTTTCAAGGTATTGATATTCAGAGGAAACACAGAGCTGGAGGGAAAGCTCCAAGACTGGAAAGGAGGAAAATCTTCTAATCTTGACCTCTCATGCTTTCTTAAACCTAGCTTAAATGGAAAATATTGAGCAGGAAAGTTTTAATGAGGGGAAATAAAGAGAATTTATATACAAGAAAGAAACAATTCTCAGAATGCAAAGAACCCCAAAGATATCAATCCTAAGTGCAAATGGAATGATTTGTCTTTAATTCTCCATCAGTCACTTAAATTCTTTAGCAAGAGGAAAGATTTATATAGATGCAATTATTTAGATTTTACAGTAGGCAGCTGGAGAGCTTTACTATGCATAGCTTCTCTTTCTCCGTGAATGAAGCTGCAATATCCTTTATGGAGAGGTCTAGGAGAAATGGCAGGTTTGGGGTTTAGGGGAGATTGAATTACGTTGCATTGTTAATTATACTGACATAAATATTCCATACACTATTTCACAAAGAACAACATTTTTGAGTCTAATTACTTAACCTTTGCCAAATGAAATGAGAGATAATATAAAAATAACAATATTTTAGATTATATTTTTGTTCCGTTTTGAAATAAATTTTGCTTTTCCAACCATATATACATAAGTAGAAAAATATTTTATTTATATGTATAACATAGTTTTGGATTTTTTAGGTATCATCTGCAGATTTTCTATTCCATGTATATCTGAATATATGATGCATATTTATATCAAATATTGCTATATTTCCCAAAGAAAATTATGGCAGATATTTCTGAAGTCAGAGACATGGCAAGCTGCCCAGTTTAAGTTTTCATAAACACTGCAGTATGAAAAAAGGAGTTTTAAAATGTAATTTTGGAATTATATTATGGTGCATTCTCAGGGAGAAAAAAGCCTTACAAGAGAATACATTAAATAGGTATAAAATAAAAGGACATGAACTTGGAAATTGCTTTCTAATGCTAACTCACTTTATCCAGTATGTGATATATCATTTGTGGATGATATTCATAATGCTGCTAAATTAATCATCTTCAATATCTAAAACTTTACTGCTTTCAAGCTTTTAGTTGCTAAACAGATTTTGTTACAACTTCATTAATCTCAAACTAAAGCTGCAAATTTAGTGGCAAGATTAAGTTTATTTTGTGCCCAAAGTGTAACTTTAAAATAATTAAAACTAACTTGGTTTCAAGGAGAAAAAGTAGTTGTTTCCAATATCTGTTAATTAATTTTCTGTGCTGTACTTTTCTCTATATTGTTTTAATAGTTGTAGCTATACAATATTTCATTTATTATTTTTCTCTTGTGTGTTGGGAATGTACAAGAAACAGCAGGAAGGAGTAGAGTAGAATAAGGGCAAGAAGTACAGATGAGGGCACAGGGGCTATACCAAAAAGTAGATTAAAGGAGTTTGACTTATATACCAAGTGGATTAGGAAGATAGTAAAAGGATTTCAGCACAGGGGTGGGATGATATGAATTTAAAAGCTTTCTCTGATTACTGTTTTGAGTGGGGCCATGGGGAGAAATAGTGAGCATGGAGGCTATTAACATAACTAAAGTGATAGATCATGGTGGTTTTGGATCAAGGTGGTATTTGGAAGTGGAGAGAACTGGATGTATTCTATTTTACAAAGGAGAAGCTGAGTTACTTTGCTTTTAATTTCATGGCATGTGAGAAAATGGAGTTAACTTCCAATATTGCTGGCTTGATCAAAGGGAAAGACAGTGGATATGTGTTAAAATGCCTAAGATTGATGAAGAAACAGATGTGAAAGAGAAGTTCTGAATTTGACATTTCCATGTGATAAGTTTGGGATGTCTCTAGGCGTGATAAGTAGGAGGTTGAACAGGGACACCCAAAATTCAGGAGCCAAATGTGAGCTGGTGATAAATGTTTGGAGACTGCCAGCATTTTGATAAGAATGCACTGCCAGGAGGACATGTGAGCTGCCTGATGGAGTAAAGGAATAAAGAGCTCAGAGACAAGAGCTAAACTTTGGGACACTAAGCCTCTCCATCTTCCAACTTGTTTAGTAAATTTTTCTGAAGATATATTTTTAAAATTTTTACTAAATAACAATCTATTTTCTTCAAAATTTTCAAATTGGTCTGTGAACTGAAATTTATGAGTGAAATATACTTTAACTTTTTCCCAAGACAGTCAGTAGTTTTGTAAAAAAATAAATAATTTATTCTTCATTTCTATTCGGTATTCATTTTTCTCTATTATATTATATCATTTTTTTAAATGTCTCCTCTCTGCACAACCAGACATTCTGTTTTTTCTTATTGGCCTTAATGAGTCTCTTTGTAAAACAAATCTTGTTCTTGAATTCTTCACATATTTAGAGATCTTTGACTTTTGAATTTATGTCGATGAATGAAGGTAGGATGATTTATATGTTTGACGTGGATTTTTTCCCATTGTTTGGAGAAATTTGTTTTATTATCTCCATTTGACATTGGGAATATTTATTGATTGATATTGTTCCCCCTGCACTAAACACCGAGATTTCAGGAGTTAAGTTAGTATTGAGTTAGTAGACTGAATTGTATTTTCTCTTGTTGAACCCAGATCAAACCAGGTGATTTCATTTTACACTTGCTACTTCCTATTCTTTTCTTTTTTTTACTCTATTTTGTTTTGGGCTGAAATTAAAAGGTGACACTGTCCATTTAACTTAAATGGTAGTGCTTAAGTATGCAGAGACAGACATTCATAAAAATCTGTAGTATTAGCTCAAGTTTTCCTTCTCACTTTCTATGTGCTCTTTTAATGGTAACAATCCTGAATATTGATTCTCTGCAGAATTTGTTGGGAAATCAGCTTTCTTCCTACTATAGTCCATTTCTAGTTGGTTTGAGTACTGATATTTTCTGCTATGCTTTCTGCATTACCGCTTCCTATCAGGTTACTGCTTTTCAGAAAATTATTTCAATGACTTTAGAACAATAGATGCAGTATTGGTTTAGTACTCAGGTAATTGATTCAGAAAAATAGTCTTAAGTTTTGATTCTTCTGGTTATTAGCTGTGTGAATTTTGGAAAATTTATTTAAGACTCTTTATGGTTCACTTTTTCCATATAGTAGGGATAATCATAATAATACTTAATGTATAAAGTTACTACTAGCATTAACTAAGTCAATATATATCAAATTCAGTTCCTGGAGCCTGGAATATTACTATTAATATTGGCAATATCATGAATATTTTTACAATTTTTAAATAAGCAGTATGATATTAGTTTTTATATTCTAATTTATCATGAGATTATATACACATGAGTAATGGAAACATTTACCTATATAATTAAGGGAAAACATTATTATTATTATAATATTGTTGGGAAGTAATCACTGAATTTACAAATTTTAACCTTCATAACTTTTTATACAGTTTCTTTTGGCAATGTACTGACATATTTTGGAGATATTCTGCATAGATTTTACCATCCCAGCCATCATATATGTATATTTTCTTTTGTATAAATTTGTTTCTATCATAATTTACTATTTATAATTTATAGAAAATAGACATGAATAGGAGTATAAGTATATTGAGGTACTAATTAATATTTAGGAATAACAGATCAGAACAAACCGGGTTAGTTTAGAAATGAACTGATCTATCATTTAAAAATCTATGAAGATAATAATTTTGCTCAGTTTTCAATTGATGAATTGGAATTTATGGAGATTTGCTGATTTTTTTCAAACAACTTAATATTTTTCAACTACAATTATATTAAATGCTTCCACTATAAAAGTCACAACTGCAAAAGTTTCCTGCCAGAATATACATAGGAAAAACAAAAGACCTAAAGAAAATGAAAGAGTAGTGAGGACTATCTTAGAGCTAGACTTTATAGAAACATGTGATTATAGTTTAAATATTTTTCTTTTTCAGTTTGACATTCTTCATGGTCAACATGAAAATGAAATGGAACAAATATCAGGAGATATAAAGGAAGAATTGATTTCTCAAAACAACAATGATAAACTCATCTGTGAGTTAGGATCAGAGGTAAGATATTGAATAAAGGGTACAATACACATTAAATATACTTAAAATCATTAAGCTGTATAATATTTTAAGTAGTATATTTGAGGTGCCTTTGGTTATTCACTGAAATATATGTTGGTTATAATATATTCAGCCTATAAATGATTTAAAATACTGTGGAGTATTATTTGTTCATTTCTATATCTGAACCATCTGAACATTAGAAAGATAAAACATTTGACTATAAAGCTACCTGATAGCCAATATAAGTGTTATTGTGAGTAAACACTTATTAAAGTTCAATCAGTTGCTGGGATCATATGTGTTAATTTATTTTTAGAAACAATGACATACAAGATATTGGCAGTTAGCAACATTGAGATGTAGGGCAAATTCACTTTTGTCATAGATAATTTATTTCTTCACTATGCTGAGTAGTATGGTGGGAACATCTCTTTCCCCTTCCTATCTGCAGTAATAATCAATACATTTTCACAGATTTGCAAACTCAGGGTGTTTTTCCAGACTTTAGAGACATAGGAGGAATTATTGTCCTAGGAGATGGGAGGGGTGATTGAATTACTTATTCTTCATGGAAAACTGTGTTACTGCATTAAAAATAGAAAATCACAAATTATTTTATAGCAGGAGATTCTAGAGAACATCTTGAATACAAATGTATAGGAACAAGTTAGAAAATGGAATGAAGTTAGTGAAAATATAGGCTGGCAGGAAGGAGATTTGTGCTAAGCATTTTGTTTCTTCTGAAACTCACTAAGCCTAAGTTCACCAAGTACATTTTGTATAAGATGAACATTGTGTAATCAGAAGTATATAGATTTTGGAACCAGAAACATCTGCATCACATTATTCTGTTCTACTTCTTAAGCCTCTATGTATCTGAGTTTGCAGATTGATATGAGTTATAACAATGATAGTAATTACACAGGGATTTTGAGAAAATTACATACTATAAGGAAAACCTTGTCTGAGACAGTGCTCTCATATTAATAAGTATAGCCAAGCTGCTCTGGAGAGTTGTCTGCTTTGCCCTGCCCCTCTTTCACCAATGCCGTCCTTGGCCTCTCCTCTATGAGTCACGTATAAGGTATTGTGGAGAGCGGTGCATAACGGGAGACCCACGATGAGAAAGGCTAGACTGCTGAAACAAATATTCCTCAAAGGGAAAATGGTGGTTTGTTTGCTTTTTGTTTTCTAAGAGGAATACAAACACTAGTATAGGTGATGCTTTCTCTTTGTTCTGAGCCCTGAGGAGAAACTTTGATAAAGCATTGCACATTGTATGAAAGATATTTATCAGCTAATGACACAAACAGAGGAAGGCACATATAAATAAATGCTTAATATAAAAAAGCTAAAAAACCCAAGAGCATATCTATCTATCTATCTATCTCAGAATGCATATATATGTATATACATGTATGTGTATTTATATATGTGTGTGTGTGTGTTTGTGTGTATGTAGTAAAATTTTAAAGAGTAGCTTTAAGTTTACAACAAAAATTAGGAAAAAAGCATAGTTCACACATATACGTGCTTCATCCATAGACTTCTCTAAAACTGATATCTCTCATCACTGCAGTGTGTTGATGACCCAACAGTAATACATTATTGAACAGATCTCATAGTATCCATTAAGCATGAGTTTGTACTGTATAGTTTATAGATTTTCACAAATGTATAATATTATGTATTTACCACTTACAGGGCACAATTTACTCCCTGAAATCCTGTTAACCACTCATCGTTTTTGTTTTCTCCGTAGTTTCAGCTTAGCCACAATATCACTTACTTAAAATCATCCAGTTTATCACATTTCAGTTTGGCTTCTTTAACTTAGCAATATGAACATGAGATTTTTCCCCATCTTTCTGTGGCTGGTAACCCTGAATTATTTGAACGCACAACAGATTGTTTACCCATTCACCTTTTGTAAAATATCTATTGCTTTCATAGCCTGGCTATAATAAATAAAAATGTTCTGTAAAAATTTATATGCAGATTTTTCTGTGGAATTAAGTTTTCAACTCATTTGCATGAATACCAAGTAGTGCTATTATTGCTGGATCATTTGATTTATTTATTTTGTAAGAATCTGCCAAACTATCTTCCAAAATGGCTGCAGCATTTGCATTCTGACCAGCAATGGGTGAATGTTCACTTTACATTATTGCCAGGATATTTAGTGTGGTTAATATTTTAAGTTTTAGCTATTTTAATAGTTTTATAGTGGTATAGTTGTATGTCATTGTAGTTTTAATTTGTAATTCCCCGATCACGTATGATGATGAACGTTTTTCCTATGCTTAAATTTCATCTTCTTCTTTGGTAAGCTATGTGTTAATTTTTTGCTCATTTAAAAATATCATCAGCTTATTTTCTTATGATTGAGCTTTAAGAGTTTCATATATATACTTTTATATATATACTTTTTAATATATATATTTGTACATATAAACATATATATACTTTATATATAAACTATATATAAGCATGTATATAGTTTATATTTAAACTACATAAAAACATATATACTTTACATATAAACTATATATAAACATATATATAGTTTATATGTAAACTATAAATACTTTATATATATATACTTTATATATACTTTAAAAATATATATATATACTTTTTTTTTTTTACATACTGGGGATCAAACTCAGGACCTTGTGCTTGTGAGGCAGGTGCAGTGCCACTGAGCTAAATCCCCAGCCCAGTTTCTTGTACATTTTAACAGTACTTTATGTTTTGCTGTTTTCCAGAACACATATTATTGATTCTGAGTTTGATCCCAGGTACTGCAAAACACATATTATTTTAAGATTACATATGATAGTTAATAGATATCAAGTATTTTCAAATTTATAGTATATATTTTAAGGTTATAATCTACATCCAAAGAAGTTGTTTTTGATAACACCTCATTTTAAAGTGATGTGATTAGCTTTGGATAATAATGTCGAATTATTTAAAAATTTCCAGATCTAAGCATGTTTATTAGAGAATTAGGAAGCATAGCAAAATAAACTGAATTTACACTGTATATAAACATAGTTTTTGCAACCTATTTATTTATTTAAAATGTATCATGACTTCTTATGTTTGCATGTAATTCATTGTGCAATTATACTTCAAATTAAAATAACATTGTAAATGTGTTTGTTAATATTTTTAGAATGCAATGAACAGTGAAATATCCACATGCACATACATATCTGGGTGTCTTAATTTTCTCATTTTTGAAACAAAATACCCAACACTCAAAGTTAAAGGAAGAAAGATTTATTTCAGCTCGCAGTTTGTGGAGGTGTCAGTCCGTAGTCAGCTGGCTCCAAAGCAGGGGCCATGGTAGAGAGGAATTACAGAGGAGAAACAGTTCATGGCAAAGCAGGGCAGGCAGAAGGGAGCCCAGCAGCACAACAATGAACCTTCTTTCTGTCCCTAAATTCCATCCAGACTACCTGTCCTTTGGGCAGGTAGCACTCAGGCCCAGGGTGGGGCAACCTTAATCCCAGCATCACACCCTTAACCCACTATCCCACACTCATATCCAGCCACCTCCCAAAAGTCCCACCTATGTCTCCATGAGGCTTTGCAAGAAGCTCTAGATATAAGACATAATCCTGGGGAAATAAACTTTCTTAAATTTCTAAAAATAATATGGACCAGTCAAGAGAATGTTTACTTTTTATATCTTTTATATATATTTCCAAGTGCCTCATTTATATTTTCACTGAGTGTAACTAGAAACTCTATGATATATAAATATTAGAAAGACTCTCAGAGAGAAGAACCATAACATATAGGCAATTTAGGAACCAATAAATAGCATGATGGTGAGTTTACTGGTTCTATTTTTAGTTCAAGTACCCAGAATTGAAGTGAAAGAAGTCAGCAATCTAGGAACACCAACAGTCATAGACAGATGAAAAAAAGCAAAATCAAGATGCAACTTGGATTTTGCCAAAAGATTAAGGAAGGTTTCACCTAGTAAGACAGGAAACTTTTAGGGCAATAATTCTAGAAGCAAATTAAATATCACAGAAAAAATAAAGCACTACCATCCCTGCTAGCAAACGTTGAATGGGACAGTTTAATTCTACCCAGCCAGCTACAAAGAAGTCCTCAAATCTTCATTCCTGAAGGTGGCAGAGAAGCCTGAGTACAGCCAGAACTCAGTCTTATTTGGGAGCAATGAGACTCCAGCTCTGGATGTGTCAGAGGAAACCCCACTAGAAGCATGAATCTCATCCCTACCCTCTCCTGGATAGTGAGATGCAGGGAATAGTGGAAACTGCCTTCATCACCCACCCTCATTCGAGTGTCAGCTGAGACCAAGTGGAAAACCTGGACTTTTATTTATTTTATTATCTGATAGTGATAGACAGTGTTTCCCTTCTGATTGCAAAGTGGCATCCGTTAGACCCACTGAAATCTGAAACACAACGTGGGTAAGATCCAGTTTCATATCATATACTCCAAATATCCAGAATACAATTGAATGTTACTTATCATGCCAAGATTAATACTATTTCAAAACACATGAAAGAAGACAATGAATAGATGCCATCACTGAAATAATGGTGATGTCTTAATTATTTGGCAGGAATTTTAAAATGATTGTAATGTAAATGCTTCAGTGAGCAATTATATGTGTGAAATAAATTATTAAAATAGGAATTCTCAGTGAAGAAGGTGAAAGTCTTGGAAAATAAATGGAAAATATAATGAAGGGACATACGGAAAACAGAACTGAAAAACCCTCAGAAATTTAAAAAAAATATAAATGAAGGAAAGAATCAATGATCTCAAAGAGAAGTCAGTAGAAAGCTCCTGTCTGAATGTCAGAGAAAATTGGCTGGAAAATAATAGATTCTTAGGGGCATGTGAGATATATAACAAGAACAAAATCTGTATTTGTATCATTGGAGGCCAATATGAGAGGAGAACTAGTGTGGGGATAAACAGTATTAAAAATAGGTGAAAATGTC